GTTACAACATTAAGGGGAGGGATGATCGCTTACAAACAAATTAAGCCCGCAACATTCTTAATGGTTCTATCCAAAGCAAGGAATCTGTAATGCAGAAGTAGTTGTTGGTTGCTGTCTCTCATATTTGGTTTTTTGTTCATTTTTGAGTATTAATCGGACCGTTAGTTTTTTTCTTTAATATTTGGCATACCGGGGCCTCTTACAATATGCGGTATTGGTATTGCTCATTGTTAAAGATGTTATTGTGATTTGTAGTTGTGTTTCTTGATTGTAAAAATGAAAGTATTCCCTTCGATTTAAAAACGTTCGGTATCATGTTCTGTAGACAAGTAGGAAATATCTTTGTTACATGTAACCATTATGTCATTTTTGTCCTTCATTTTGAAATCAGCAACTGAGACTTATTACATGATTTTGACATCACCAATTGAGATTTTTCAAAAGATTTTGACATCACCGAATGAGACTCCTCATACGATTTTGATATCATCGAATGAGACTTATCCCCAACTGAGACGTACCGCACGATTTTTCATCACCGAATGAGACTATCACACGATTTTGACATCACCGAATGAGACCTATCACACGATGTTGACATCACCAAATGCTACTTATCACACGATTTTACTTGCAATGTCAAATGCGTCGGATTTTAGGCAGTTGATTGATTTTCATTTTATTTTTATTTTAGTCCAGTTGTCTGTCTTTTTTTTAACTTGCGACTTTCCATACAAATAATTATCCGATTTGCAAAGTCTCTAAAACTTTTTCCCGCACTTGTTTCCAAACAGTACACATCATGCTCATAGCAAACTGTAAGTTTTATGGTGAAGTGTTAAAAGGATGGTATAGCATCGATATTATGTCTGGAAGAAACCAATGCTTTATTTCTTGTTTTATCATAAAATGAGTTTATGACCGCTAAAATCTAACACAACATAAAGCTACTGATATACTACAGAACATTAAATAATAATGAAAAATCGTAATAAGGGATTTAAATCTGCAAATGCATAATTCAGAATTGTCAAGTTTCATATCTAATTAATTTATCTCAAGTTTCTATCTCGGTTTTCCTCACATATTCCATTTTGTAATCTAGCAATACGTTTTGATTAAATACTTCAAATAATCATCTTTTTAATTCCTACGCTTCCGTATCCATGTAATAAACACTATAATTAGTTATCAAAGGTATACCAGGATTATAATTTAATACGCCAGACGCGCGTTTCGTCTACATAAGACTCATCAGTGACGCTCAGATCAAAATAGTTATAAAGCCAAACAAGTACAAAGTTGAAGAGCATTGAGGACCCAAAATTCTTATAAGTTGTGCCAAATACTGCTAAGGTAATCTATTCCTGGGATAAAAAATCCTTAGTTTTTCGAAATATTCAAAGTTTTGTAACAGGAAATTTATAAAAATGACCATATAATTGATATTCATGTCAACACCGAAAACTGTCTTTCGAATTATTTATTCTGATACAGTACTGTGAATTCGTTCATTTTCGTGGATAGTGAAAAAAATCCACCCTAAACGGAAAATAGATGTAAAGACATCGAATGTCGTACAAATTAACGTATGTTGTTTGTTCCTGACTTATCTGGGGTAAAATTGTTCATCAGGTCATGATCTATCTGCCCTGGAATTTTCAGACAAATCACACAACCCGTTTTTGGGTTGCTGCCCCTGAATTGGTAATTTTAAGAAAATTTTGCATTTTTATTCTTCAGATAATTATCTTCAGTATTATTATAGATAGAGATAAAATATAAACAGCAATAATGTACAGCAAAGTAAGATTTGCAAATAATTCAGCATAACAAAAATGGTCAATTGACACCTTAAGGAGTTATTGTCCTTTATAGTCAATTTTTAACAATTTTTTGTAAATTTTTATAATCTTTTGAGACAAAGGACAAGGTATGATAAGGGGCATATTTGGCCCCCCTTTTTCCCGATTTGAGAAAATTTTATGTTGAATCCCATCCTGCTTGTAAAATGACCTGAAGTATCTGTTCGTCAACGTAGAATCTTATTTTGTTGAATTATATACTCAAATTCTGCATAAAGAGACCTTAAAAGGTCATGAACGACGCAAAGTTTGTAAAATCTACAAGTTTTGTAACGTTTGGAGAAGATATTCGACATCAGCGCCAACGTAGACCATCCTGAAATGTTCAACCAGCTACTCTTCTCAGATATATCTTTCATTTTATAAAATATCATGGTGGTCTACGTTGGCGCTCATATTTTAAATTGAAAAAATAAATATCCGATTGTTTACAATTTTGACAAGTCGATAGAATACGCCAATGAAACGGTCCGGTTCCGGGACTATTCCGGTAGCTTTAGATGCAGACGGACAACCAAGGTTGCCAATCACTCCAAAGAAAATACGGGTAAGCAACAAATTTCCAACCCAAAACTTAATTGCAGGAAAATCAAAAAAAAATACTGGTAATCTGCATGTTTGCAATAAGCAATTATAAATGCAAGTGTATTTTTATTTACAAGCTGGGCCAGTGATCAGGCATTGGATTCGGAATCAACATTGACAACAATAAACGATCGCATATTGGATACAAATAACATGTATCATTGCCTCAATTACTGGGAATAAACTTTTAATCATATATTATTCAAATTATATTTTGCCAGATTTAAGATATTTCTTGATAGTATTTCTTGTGACTGTAGTCTGTAGGGGGAGGGTGCCAAATACACCTTATCGCTAATCCCGGCTGACCCGGCCGCTTGAACTTTTGACGCATACAACAATCACTTTTCCATTGTGGCGTCAGATATTTTGTTTTATGACGTCAAATTTTACGGGAACCTGTGTGATATCAACTAATGGCGGACAAATAGCGATAAGGTGTATTAAATATATTCCGGGGGTTAATAATTGATCAAAATATCAGGCACTCATAGCTATAACGTATTTCCACAACACATATTACTCTCATAAAGATTATATGTTAGACGTGTAATTAAACACAGGCAATAAAAGTCCACCGCAGTGCAGACGACGTAGCTTTGTTTACATAATAAAAGAGTGATGTCCCCTGAAAATTGGTGAATTAATTTTCAGCTTATAAGTTTTTCAAATATTCAAAAATACCTTTCAAGTATAATTTAGAATAAGGTTTTTATAAAAAGATTTCTTTTTTATAACTTTGAAGTAAATTGTTCATTTGCATCAATATATTTTGCATTTGGAAATTTTATATTGTACCAAGTACAGAGAACGAGATGTAGAGGGATATATAATAAAAGAACTGTCCATAAGCATTTCATCAGATTGCCAAACGTGCGATGGCTGACCAGCCATTCAAAGTCGTTAAACACCAACAGAAGCAATCTAGGAAATCAGTAAAACACTATACAAAAAAAATAAATAACTGTAAACTTCCATGGGTAATCCAGGTCGTAACTAGCTATACACATCATTCAATTCAAAGGGAAAACATGCACGAGAAGTCATTTATCAATTTATTAAGAGGGTTTTTTTTTTATATCAAATGGCTAATTCAATCAAATATCTGATCGCTTTCCTCTGTAGAAAATGATGAAACAAACCTGGCTAACTAAACCTCTCACTTGTACGAAGTCGCATAGACTTCTATTAAAAGAGTATTCAATCTACAAGCCATCAAAGTAAAACTAATCGTGGGCCGCCTAGTTCGAGACCCTCATTGGGAGTAAAGGTTGATAAATATCCAAGTTATAGTTATACAGGGGTAATCAGATAGCAGAAGTCTTTCAGTAGAGCCCACTGTACTCAATGTCATCAAAATGCATGCTCTGACCGATTTAAAATCTGCACTATCAGTTTTTTTTTTTTTAAATGTGTATACTACATGTGAAACTCAACTCAATAGCAAAACAAAAGAAACTAAATCTACAAAAACACTGAAAAGATCTGCGGTCATGACAAAATTCACAAAAAAAAAGAAAGAAAGAACACAATCAAAAATAAAAGATTATGAAATTATCAGTATCACAAAAGCTTATCACCAAAAGTGGTCTTACTTAGAAAATGCAAATGTAGGAGTGATAACACTTAGATTTCAACCTCTCCCTTTCGTGTGTTAATTACTTTACTTACAAAACGTTTCTTTAAAAAAAAACATGCATATAAATAGGTACTGGTAAAACACTGTACTCTAACCAATGGTAAACAACATTAAAAGACTCAGTAAACAATATAATTCCTTCAAGATATAGAGTTCAGTTACTGAAAGCAAGCTAATATTAATACTCATCTATAATGTAATTTACATATTGACACCCTATTTACATTTAATACATTTTATGCCCATACCGTAACCAGAGGGGGCATTAAGTGTTAGCCTTGTCCGTCTGTACGTCCGTCCGTCACAAAATTGGTTTTCGTTCTCTAACTTTAGTTTGTCTCAGCCAAATGGTATGAAACTGATACACAATGCTTATTACCACAAAACACAGACCAAGTTCGAATTTGGGTGGTGTCACTTTTACCGTTCTCTTTATATAATTATATGCAGAGTGGGAGGGGCATCATGTCCCATGGACACATTCTCCAGTTAATTTAGATTGTTAAGCACTCTTTCACAATTGTTGAACTTGATAAGCTGTATTCATAAAATAAAAGTTTGTTGTTTATTTAGCATTTCTTTTCTTTTAGCTCCTGTTGATATTGCCAATAAAACACACTACAAAACCCAAAGAAGAGTATACCAGAACAAAATGTATAACTAGTTATATCCGATAGAAGATATTTAGGTAAATCATACAATATCTGCTTATTTTATATCAGTGCTCATTCTTTCCAAAATATATCTATCCGAACCACTTCTGTTACAACACATTTACAACTCTTCGGATGTACTGCAATATTCATAAACGATGACTTCCGTACACTAATATAACAATGTACCAGTATTCAAATGGTGCATACTCACACAGAAAAAAAGGCCCGCCTTAAAGTTTAAGCAGAACCTTTTCCCCTTTCATTTGTAATTAAAAAAAATGTCTACTGTGCAATCTGGCCATATGATTCTTTGCTAAATTTTGTTTAAAAGATACCACTTTACACAGGCAATGCAAAACACTAATAGTGATTATCTTTTCTGTTGTTCGCAGTTCTCGTGAAAATAAGAGAGTCTACAGTCCCAAACAACTAAAATAAGTCAATGATATTTTTCATATTCAGTATATGGTTTCTATAAAAACAATTCACCGTAATCGACTCTTAATCAATATATTTTCATTTTTGTGAAGTGAAATATGAACTTATGAATAAAAAAAAATAAGCTATGATTGTTTTGATTTAAAAACTATATGAAGAATATATAATGAACCACCTCCCCCCCAACCCCAATACAAATACATTGAAACAACACTTACTTTAGAGTCTCCATTTCAGGGGAATATCCTAATATGAAGCATACAAGTAACGGAGTATTGTTTAGCTTAAAAGTTTTTATTTGTACGACGTCATACTATGCCATTACGTTAAACTTATTTAATACGCCAAGATCGATTATAAATGTTCATGTAAAATGTATTGTATAGTTGTATATACTTTTTTCTAAATTATTGTGTCTTATCTTTCTTTGTTATGCATTATACACATGTACTTTTAATCTAACAGTTCTGGAACTTTTCTCAATTTCAATTTTTCTAGGAAACCAAGCATCCCAATGGCATGCATGTGTATCGCGCATAAATCTTTATCAGAAAATCAAAAAAGTGCTTACCTTGCTACAAAAGTAGTTTTTGAAACATGGTCTTTGAAGTATCAACCAAAGGTGAAACTCTGACGGACTTAATACGTTCCAGTATTTGTTTATTTGCAAATCTTTTAAGATTTATCATCAAATATATATGGATTTTTTTTTTACATTTTGCAGCACTTTCGAAATTCCAGCAAGATGGTTATGATAAACAGAATAGATACATGTTATAATGGATTCATAAAATAGGTAATTTATAAGAATAAATACAAAATACAGAAATATATACTCCCAACCTGACCATACAACTATTTAAGTGTTCGAAGAAACCAAGATAGTTTCGTTGTGCATATATGAAATAAGGAGTCGTGGTATGATTCCCAACTAGACAACTAGCCACCAAAATTCTAATGAAATAGATGTAAACAATTTTATGAAGCAGTGGAGCCTTTAGCAATGAGAAAAACCGTTCCACATAGTTGGCTATACAAGGCCCAGACATGAAAAAATGTAACAAGTCAATTGAGAAAACTCACGGCCGAATCTATAACAAAACAGTTATATGGTAATCCTTTTTCTGTAAAATATATACATTGCCCCGGCATGTGGCATACGTTTATAACGGTAACTAGGACTATATATAGTTCGCATTCATTCTTACAAACCCTGAATTGGAAATTGCCAAAGAGTAAAATGAAAACAGAACACAATTTGTCAAGTTTAAAAAATGTTCCTCTTCCGTTAACATTCACAGTAGTTATTTGTGCATTAGTTTCAAAAAAATTACAGGACATTCAACAATATAATACAAAACAAAAAGAAACAAGAAAGACATGAACACTAAAGTCAGATAGGTCAAAAAACAGTAAATAAGATTACATTGAAAAACAGTTACAAGACAAGATAGAAACAACAGAAAACAAGATATGATGACTAGGCAAGATAGTAAAATACAAGACAAGACAAAAATCAAGACCTGACAAATAACATAAAGGTCATGACACACCACAAGGGCCTCTAAGCAAGACAAGACGAGACGAGACAAAAGAAAAGAGACAAGACAATGTAAACAAGACAAGAGAAAAGACAATGTAAACGAGACAAGAAACAATCAAAATGTAAACGAGACAAGAGACAGGTCAATGTAAACGAGACAAGAGACAAGACAATGTAAACGAGACAAGCGACAATCAAAATGTACAGGAGACAAGAGACAGGTCTATGTAAACGAGACATGATAATGATAACGAGACAAGTGACAAGATAATGTAAACGAGACAAGAGACTTGACAATGTAAACGAGACAAGAGACAAAACACAATGTAAATGAGACAGGAGACAAAAGGAAATGTAAACGAGACAAGATGCAAGAGACAATGTAAACGAGACACGATACAATAGAGACAAGACAATGTGAACGAGACAAGATACAAGAGACAAGACAACGTAAACGAGACAAGAGACAATGTGAACAAGACAAGAGACAAAATAATGTAAACGAGACAAGAGACAAAAGACATTGTAAACAAGACAAGAAACAAGAGTCAAGAAAAGACAACAGACATTGTAAACGAGACAAAAGACAAAAGACAATGAAAACGAGAAGAGACAAGCAAAATGTAAACGAGACAAAAGACAGGTCAATGTAAACGAGACAAGATAATGATAATGAAACAAGAGACAAGACAATGTAATCGAGACAAGGGACAGACTAGACAATGTAAACGAGACAAGAGACAAAAGACATTGTAAACAAGACAAGAGACAAGAAAAGAAAAGAAACATTGTAAACGAGACAAGAAACAAAATACAATGTAAATGAGACAAGAGACAATGTAAACGATACAAGAGACAATGTAAACGATACAAGACACAAAAGACAAGAGACAATGTAAACGAGACAAGAGAGAAGATAATGTAATCGAGACAAGGGACAAGAGGCTACACAATGTAAATGAGACAAGAGACAAAACACAATGTAAATGAGACAAGAGACAAAAGGAAATGTTAATGAGACAAGATACAAGAGACAAAAGACAAGAGACAAAGTAAATAAGACAAGAGACAAGACAATGTGAACTAGACAAGATACAAGAGACAAGACAACGTAAACAAGACAAGAGACAATGTGAACGAGACAAGAAACAAAACAATGTAAACGAGACAGACAAGAGACAAAAGACAATGTAAACGAGACAAAAGACAGGTCAATGTAAACGAGACAAGAGACAAGACATTGTAATTGAGACAAGACTTCAGACAATGTAAACGAGCCAAGAGACAAAACACAATGTAAATGAGACAAGAGACAATGTAAACGATACAAGACACAAAAGACAAGAGACAATGTAAACGAGACAAGAGAGAAGATAATGTAATCGAGACAAGGGACAAGAGGCTAGACAATGTATACGAGACAAGAGACAAGACATTGTAATCGAGACAAGGGACAAGACTTCAGACAATGTAAATGCCAAGAGACAAAACACAATGTAAATAAGACAAGAGACAAAAGGAAATGTTAATGAGACAAGATACAAGAGACAAAAGACAAGAGACAATGTAAACAGACAAGAGACATAACAATGTGAACTAGACAAGATACAAGGGACAAGACAACGTAAACAAGACAAGAGACAATTTGAACGAGACAAGAGAGACAAACCAATGTAAACGAGACAGACAAGAGACAAAAGACAATAAAAACGAGACAAGAGACATTGTAAACAAGACAAGAGACAAGAGACAAAAAAAGACAAGAGACATTGTAAACGAATCAAGAAACAAAAGACAATGTAAATGAGACAAGAGACAATGTAAACGATACAAGACACAAAAAACAAGAGACAATGTAAATGATACAAGACACAAAAGACAAGAGACAATGTAAACGAGACAAGGGACAAGAGACTAGACAATGTAAACGAGACAAGAGACAAAACACAATGTAAATGAGACAAGAGACAAAAGACATTGTAAACAAGACAAGAGACAAGAAAAGACAAGAAACACCAAACGAGACAAGAAACAATAGACAATGTGAATGAGACAATAGACAATGTAAACGATACAAGACACAACAGACAAGAGACAATGTTAACGAGACAAGGGACAAGAGACTAGACAATGTAAACGAGACAAGAGACAAACACAATGTAAATGAGACAAGAGACAAGAGACATTGTAAACAAGACAAGAGACAAGAAAAGACAAGAAACATTGTAAACGAGACAAGAAACAAAAGACAATGTCAATGAGACAAGGCACAATGTAAACGATACAAGACACAAAAGACAAGAGACAATGTAAATGATACAAGACACAAAAGACAAGAGACAATGTAAACGAGACAAGGGACAAGAGGCTAGACAATGTAAACGAGACAAGAGACAAAACACAATGTAAATGAGAAAAGAGACAAAAGACATTGTAAACAAGACAAGAGACAAGAAAAGAAACATTGTAAAGGAGACAAGAAACAAAAGACAATGTAAATGAGACAAGAGACAATGTAAACGATACAAGAGACAATGTAAACGATACAAGACACAAAAGACAAGAGACAATGTAAACGAGACAAGAGAGAAGATAATGTAATCGAGACAAGGGACAAAAGGCTAGACAATGTAAACGAGACAAGAGACAAGACATTGTAATCGAGACAAGGGACAAGAGACTAGACAATGTAAATGAGACAAGAGACAAAACACAATGTAAATGAGACAAGAGACAAAAGGAAATGTAAATGAGACATGATACAAGACACAAAAGACAAGAGACAATGTAAACAAGACAAGAGACAAGACAATGTGAACGAGACAAGAGACAAAACAAGAAAAAAGACATGAGACAAAAGACAAGACATTATAAACTAAACAAGACGATACAAATAACATAAAGGTCATGACACAGCACAAGGTGCTGTTAGCATGACAAGACAAGACAATTCAAGACAATTGAGTACATGTGCTCAAAACAGACTTGTGTTGTCTTCTTATCTTAAATATTTGCAATAAACATATATAGGATACTAGTTAATACATACAAATATATGTATAATATATTTTTTCATTTTTATTTTTTTTAGGCATTTAGCCATGGCAAAAAGTTACAGTTGTGTTCTCTGCAATAAGACACACCTAACAGTGAATAACAGAAGAACTATAATAAATGAAAAATTAAGAGATTATCTGGCCAGGACTCTTAAAAGGAATGTTGAGAATGCAACTATATGCTTGAAATGCAGGGCACAAGTATACAGAGATATGAAAACAGTGATGAACTCACCACAGATGAGACAAGGTATAGCAACTTGCCAGTCAAACGATGATGATGATCCAGATTTTTTAGCAGAGGAAACATTACCATCAGAACTAATTAGCCCGAAATCTATACAGTTAAACCTTTCATCTACATCTAAATCTCATAGACGTTGTACTGTTTGCCAGAAAAATAGCAGTAATCGACATCGACAGGTAGTTGTACCGCATGAGGCTCGAACTCAGGCTTTCATTGACAAATGTATTGTTATACCAGCAAATAGCAGATGCTGTCCAAATCATCTTTTGGGAAACTATTTTACACAGGAGTCTATTTCAAATATACCAGAGGTAAATAACACTACACTTTTTAATAGAAGTGACATCACTGAACTATTAAACAGGGTTCGAGGAACATTGACATTAAATGGCAAACTTAATTTTGATTGTTCACACTCATTGTCAGAGGAGGACTACCAGCGACTGACTGGTTTAACCAGGAATCAGTTCGAAGCTGTTGCAAATACAGTAACTGACCTAAGAAAATCTGAAATAAGATCTGTAAAGACATGTTTGGCCATTCTTTTAGTTAAACTTAGGACTGGACTCTCCAACTCCATTTTAGCTACATTATTTTCATTGGAAATACACCAAATTCAAAGAGCGACACACGCAGCTAGATCATCCTTGATGAAGTCATTCGTGCCTTCGTTTCTTGGCTTTCAACATATGTCCCACGACAAGTTCACTAGGGACCACACCACTCCAACAGCGAGAACTTTGTTTGCAGATAATCAACAAGATACTGGGATTCTTGTCCTTGATGGGACTTACATTTACCTACAGAAAAGTTCCCACCATCATTTTCAAAAGCAGACATACAGTATGCATAAAGGGAGGTCATTAGTCAAGCCCATGATGATTGTCGCTACAGACGGTTATATTCTTAATGTCCTCGGCCCATATTATGCTGACGGTCATAACAATGATGCTTCTATCATAAAGCATGCATTTAAGACTAATGCTGATGAGATTAACACATGGATGCACGAGGATGATGTCATGGTTGTAGACAGAGGATTCCGTGATGCAGAAGAGTTTTTGAAAAAAATGAATTTCAAAGTTGAGATGCCTTGTTTTCTTTCTAAGGGAGCAAAACAACAAACAGTTGATGAAGCGAATACAACGCGACTGGTGACTAAAGTTCGCTGGGTAGTGGAAAGTGCAAATGGTAGAATAAAACAGTGGAAATTTTTGGATAAAGTTGTTGCCAACCACTACGTGCCACACATTGGGGACTTTGTAAGAATTGTCTGTGCACTTGTCAACTGTTTTAGACCGCCTCTTATAAATGATTTCGGCAATGATGACATAGGTAAAGAAATGATTGAAAAGGCACAACTAGACAACCATGTAAAAACATATGTAGAGGAGCACAACCTTTTGAGAAGAAAAACTGTCTACAAAGAAGTTGATGGTGCGACTGAGCTTGATATGTTTCCCAGAATATCTCTAGACCATCTTAGACAAATTACAATGGGTATTTACCAAATCAAATCAGCTAAAAGGTACACGGATGCCCATCAGGAGGACGACAACTATGCATTGTTCATTTGCAAGGATAGGCCAGATCTGTTGTGAGTAAAAAAGCACTCTCGCCATTCATCTTCAAGATGCTACCATTTGTGGTTGGAGTACGATGAAAATGAAGTCACTGGTTGGTACTGTACTTGTAAAGTTGGGTCACGTATGGTTGGGTGTTGTGCCCACATCGCAAGCGTTGTTTGGTATCTTGGATATCATAGGTGGAATATTGGGGCTGCTCAATCTGTCAATGCTTCCGGAAAGTTTTCAAGTTCCATACTCAATGCTAAAGATGTTCCTGAAGAGTCCGATCTGTCTGACGTAGAAAGTGTTGATTCATATATAGAAGAATAACTTACAATCATAATGAATTTAACCGTAGCTAAGAATGACTTGAACAAACGCCTCGCAACTATTCTTGTTTATTTGTAAGATGTACATTGCTGTTATAATCTAAAATGAATGAAGGTCATTTAAGTGTCACTGTTTTCACATTCCATATGTCATCACATTTATATAATTTTTCTGAAAAAAAAGCACTTTTTAACCACGAGATTTATTTTATCTAACTTGTAATGGCTGTTTTCTAAAACCTAACTTGAAGAATGGCCACCTATCTTTTCGGTGTCTCGTTGGAGCATGTTTGAGTGTGAGAAGTGGAAGACTTGATTTGGTATTTATTTCAATTTTTTCGCTTTGTTTACACATGTTTTTGTTGCTGACATACCCACTGGACAATACACATGTCGCTTTGTATAAATCATTACATTGTCGTGTTTGGTCAAGTGTGTCGTGTAACTGTGTCTATTTCCCTTGATACTATTGGCCACAACATTAACATACTGTAAAAGGACGTTTAAGATATCTAATCAATTTAAAATGTAGAGTTTTCGTAAAATATTTCATTCCAAGTACATATGTATAATTATCTTTCCATATACACATAAGTGTCCCATTCTGTATAAAATAAAGAGATGTGGTATGATTGCAAATGAGACGAGACCATATGTGTTAATTTCAAGAAATCTAGCAATATATTTTTTTTAGAGAAAAATGAAATAGTTCATGGAGTTCACCTTCTTTATGCCTATTTCTTTTATTTAGTAAGTGTTGACCAAGAACACTGAACTTTGCATTCGCTATTACGTATTTAAAATGTCCTTGTAATTGGTTAACAGTTCACCAACAGATAAAAAATTGAATTCTAGCAACACGCTTTTGTTACAAATACAGAAAACTTCCTGATCTGTTACTCAATTTTCAATAGTATTTTTAATCTCTTTGTGTTTTAATGTAGTTTACAAAACGGTAGGGTCAATGCTTTATTTTTGATTCTTACTAATATTTATAAAGATAAGTGTCACTTAAAAGCTTTTTAATGTTACTCAATTTGTTAATATTGGTTAATTACTGTTGATGGAATCATAAAAGTTCATGTGAAAGTGTATGTACGAGAATGAAAAATTGTATGAACAAGATCCATTTGAATTATTTTGTATGTGATTGCAGATTGTTTAATATGAAATTGTTACTTATCAATGCTTATATGTGCGAGCGTATGAATGAAATCTGATATGAAAAAAACGATTATATTTAATTAACGTTCTTAAATTCATACATTAACACAAACTATGATTATAATTTAAACTAAAAGCAAACAATGTTGGTATGACGATCTTCTCTTCTGGATATGCTTTAGCTGGATGTCAGTATGATAACTGTGTTGTTTAAATGTATATAATACTATTTTCTGTTGGAAAATTATATATATATGCACATGCTAGGTTGTTGATAGTTACTAAAAAAGTTATAATTGAACTGTCTCTTTATTTCTTTCTAGTCTTCTTGTACAGAACTGGACAATCTATTTATTTGTAGAATAATATGAAAATACTAGTCTAGTTGTCTTTAATCTTAACATGATTGATAGTTGCTAAGCAACATTTGTGTTGCTATACACAATATGGACTTCATAAAAAAAGACTATTGAATAAGATATTCATATCATAGTGTACTCCATATGTGAAAGTAAGTTTTTAAAAATAGCAAAATTCATACTTGAGATAAAAAAAGAATCGTTATTAAACCGTTGCTATGCACTATTTTGGTTGAAACGTTGTTGATAAACATGAACTTCAATTAAAATTACTTTTATTTCTTACAGTTATTTATTCTTATATGCCAATCAGTTTTGCTTTTATTGTAACTTGTACAATAAAAGAATTGTTTTTATATTTCTCTTCAATTTATTCATTTTTGACTGTTGCTAAGCAATATTTGTGTTGCTATGCTCAATATGAACATCGACAAAAAAAAAGATGACTGAACTATAATATAAGACTGAAAAACAATTTATGGATGCTTAATCTACAAATATTGCTATTATTTAATACCTCAGAGGGAAAAACTTACCAATGTTTGATATGTTGCTAGGCAACAATTTTGTTGTTAGGTTGTTGCTAAGCATTTTAGTAAACTGAAAATTAACGTGACCATTCGATCGTAACTTCAGGTCCCTCTAAAGCAAACAATAACATTTGGAATTGAGCTCATTTGTATAGATAATGCAATCCATAAGTGATAATTTGGCTATTAAATAAAACCGTTGCTAGGCAACCTTCCTTTAACCGGAACATAAAAAAATCATTGTTTTCACAAGTTTCTATACAAAGGCTATCAATGATATGAATATAAGCTTATTTTGAGAGGGGGCCAAAAACGCCCCTTATCATACCTTGTCCTTTAACCAAACTTTGCCACAATCATCATTAGGCTATCTAGTTTAAAAAATATGTCCGATGACCCGACCTACCAACTAAAATGTCTAAAAATAGAACATAGGGGTAAAATGCAAGTTTTGTCTATTATATTTTGAACCGTTATAAATAGAGAAAATCTGAATGGAGCAAAAATGTTCAGCACAATGAGCTCTACCAATTGGCCATATACGTCAAAACTGTAAGACAAATTCTTATAGGAGTTATTGCCCATAAATGACAAATTTTACCATTTTTTTTCATATTTGCCTTTTATCACGAAAACTATGATATTTAGAGAGAAACCTGTTTTCCGTTATTTCTTATATGATTTGAATTATAATAGATAAATAACACATTAAATCACAAAAATGATCAGCAAGGCAAGATCTATTAAAAAGTCAAATTTCGCCGATATTGTTAGTAGACTGTCATTCTTCATAGGAGTGATTACCCTTAATTGAGGATTTTTTTCCCCTCTTTTGTGTTTTGAGCAAACACTAAAGAAGATATAGAGAAACTAAACAGACTAAAAGATCAGTAGTGCAAGATCAACAAAATAGAGATTTTTGTCATGACGTCTATTCTCGTCTAAAATGTTGGAGAGTGACCTTTGTTTGATATGCACATAGACCAAGGTGAGCGACACAGGCTCTTTAGAGCCTCTAGCTGCTTATGTGCTTTGTCTATATAGTGTCTATATGCCATCTTGTTTTTCTTTGTTGACATAGTTGTTTGTTTTAATAATTTTATAGTGATTAAGATTATAACACAATGTTGACTGCTGTACCTCACTTTTTGACATTTTTGCCTATTATGTCTGTTTGTTTTGCTCACACATTGTTGTCAATATAATGGAATTCTATGCGATTGTCATACAAGTGAGAGGATGAGCTAGCTATGAAACCAGGTTTTAATCAACAAATTTCTACATCAGAAAATGCCTGTTCCAATTTTGGAATATGACAGTTGTTTTCCATTCGTTTGATGTGTTTGATGTGTTTGAGCTTTTGGTTTTGCTTTTTGATAAGGGACTTTCCGTTTTGAATTATTCTTGTTGTTAGGTGTTTTAATTATTCTACTTTTTCCAGTTGTCGTCGTAACCACAATTCCGTCCTCTTTTCCTCGAATATGACCAACCGAAGTTGACTTCTCCCCGTGTTTGTAATTACATGAGCAACACGACGGGTGCCACTAGTGGAATAGGATCTTTTTATCCTTTCGGAGCAGGCCTGAAATCATCAACGGTGGTTTTTTGGTGGGGTTCATGTTGCTCAGTCAACTGTTTTTCACTGTTATTTGTCATTTGTTCACTTTTCGTATTTTGCCATGGCATTGTCAGTTTGTTTTCGACTTATGAGTTTGAATATCTGGGATATTTGGTATATTTCGCCTCTTTTATGCAAGACTTTCCGTATACGATGAATATGATAAGTGACTGTTTAACGTCCAGTGGCAAATAAATACACGAAACATGTTAATGAGATATTGATATGAACCCTGATTTATACTAGACCAACACGTCAGATACTAGTATCTCTATGTGTTACTTCACAAACGCACAGTCCGCAGGAAGATATAACAGACTACCATTATTATGACACTTAGCCGACCATTCTGTGTTCTTACTCCTAAAGCAGCAAATAACAATTTGAAGTTTTTTGTTTGTCCAGACCGGGGATTGAGCCCACGACCTATCACAGTCGAGGCGTGCACGCTATCATAAGACCAAGACTCTTCTTTCTTCATAAGCAACGTCAAAACCATACTGTGTGACTCGTTTTGTTATCCTTTGTTTCTAACAAGTAAATGAACTGTTCATATGAAATAAATATAGGGAATTATTACGAGAACAGACGACAGAAAATATATGCAGGATACTACTTTCATATTATTTTTACATATTAATGTAATTGGCCAATATCAAAAGACAGTCGAGATATACAATGGGACATTCAAACTCATAAGTCGAAAATAAACTGACAACGCAATGACAAAACAAGGGGCATTGATATTGATGGGAAGCACGTGCGTCGAGACACATATAATTAGAATTATCTTCCCAAAACTTATTTTGCAGTGTTGGCAGTTGTCTAACATGACTATACGTATGATGGTTGAAGGTCTTGGTCCGTTTTGTCTCAGGAAATTGACCAGAGACATTTTGTTTTTCCTTTTATAGAATAGAGAATGGAAACGGGAATGTGTCAATGGGAGACAACAACCCGACCAAAGAACAGAAGACAGCACAAGGCCACCAATGGGTCTTCAACGCAATGAGAAAATCCCGCATCCAGAGGC